AGAAACCCACCAGGAGCAGGACTCGAACCAGGGTCGGCCATGTGGGAGTGTCCAGCACCTTAGCCACCACGCCACCTGCTAGTCCCCTAGATGTGTATGTGTTTATGAAGATATGAGGACAGTGGTAGTGGTGGGACTGTGCATACCTGTTTGTGAGCATGTGCAGGTGAGAGACCTGTACTGTCATGGAAGTCTTGTTGGCTAAGCATGGGGGAATAAGGAGGGGAAATTGCTAACAGCCTTCTCACCAGAAATGCCCCAGCTTTCAAAGTGGAAGTATACTAGTACCTGCTAGAAGGGGGACATTTGGAATTCTAGTCAGTGTTGGTCTCAGCCCCATTCTACCTCAGCAGCAGGGCCCATACTATGGAGTTGCATCTGGGGCTACTCTCCTGAGACCAAGCATATTTGACTTGCCTTTGACCCACTGAACTGAATTATTGGCTTGGGGGCCTCTGTTGTACACACACAGATACACACACACACCACCAATTCGTCTTAGTGAAGGTTGCAAATGACAGAAACCCAATTCTAACCAGTGAAACAAAAGAAGAGATATGTTAATAGATAAAATGAAGCCATCAAAAAAAGCAGGGATACAGACAGCTCTAGGAATGATGGGAATTGTGACTTGCCATAGAAAACTCATGTCTGGGGGGCAGGGGGCAGAAAATTCTCTCTATATATACTGACCTACAACACCAACTCCATGTCCTCTCTATCCTTATTCATTTTGTGTCCATTTGATTTGCCTTACACAGAATCTCATGTATTGCTATGCTTCTGTGTCCTTACATCACCTCTGCTTTTTATTTCATAAAGGGAACTACTAGATTTGATTTGAAGTCACTCACTTTCTTTTTTGGGACTCTTCTGCTACCATTTCTGGCCCCCACCTTCAAATTCCCTTCAATCCTTAGGACCAGCAGTTAGCGTAATGGCTATGTCATTGGACTCCCATGTAGTTGACCGCGGTTCGTGTCCAGACCCGTGCAACTTAGAACTCACACCGGGCGCATGTGCATGCGTGCCCAAGATCCCGAGAGGAGAATGGAGGAGAAGGGATTGCGGCATGACCATCCCCCCTGGAGGGTGATTTCTCGCTTTCTGTCTCTCTGTCTCTGTCTGTCTGGTGAGCACACGTGCCCTATAGCAAAAACCTCTCCAAAAAAAAAAATTCCCTTCAATCCTTGATTTCTATTTTTAATGTCATCAGTATTATCTGTTGGCCTTCTTCATCGACTCTATAAAGATGGGACTACATTCAATAATAATAGCTAACACTTCTTAACCACTTATTGTAATGTTAGGTACTGTGCTAAATAGCATACATGCATTATTTAATTCTTATTATATCCCTATTCAGAAGCTTCTATCTCTCCTTCCCTTTTATAGTAGAAGAACCTAAAATACAGAGCTGAAGAGTCATGTAGCTGGAGTGGTGGAGCCAGGATTTCAACTCAGTTTGACTCCAGACCTATGCTTTGTAATGTATCTAAATGCATAGAAAAAGAACCCAAGCCATACACACCAGACTGATTGAGAGCCATTACTTCAGGAGAAAATGGGATGGGGGTTTTCCAAAGGGTCAATCATGTTTTGTCCATTTTTGTTCTTTCTTTCCTTTTTAGACCATCAGGCCTGTGCATGCAATGCGAGAGCGAGAGACAAAGACAGACAGAATGCTTCAATGAAATGTGGTCACTCCACAATCATTTTCTGTCCAATTCTCCATTCTGTCAGGATCTTGGGTACATGTGCACACACCTGGTGATTTTCTTTTCTTTTCTTTTTTTTTCAAACCAGTGGGACTGGAATTAAACCCTGGCCAGCCACATGAGATCTTGCTTCACCTGTACAGTGTTCACTTAATCACTGCACTACAGGAAGGCCCTAGTTTTGTCCTTCAAAGGTCTACATTTGATTTTTCTGATTTTCTATTTACATTTAATTGTACAACTTTGTAGGGCATAACATGGATTTTCAAAGCAGAATGCAATATATGACAATCAAATCAAATATAATACCATATTCGTCTTCTTTTATAAGGAAAAAATTTGGGAGAACCAGCAGTTAGCGTAATGGCTATGTCGCTGGACTCACATGTAGTCGACCACAGTTCGCGTCCCGGAACCAGTGGCTTAAAACTCACGCCGGGCGCGTGTGCGTGCGTGCCCAAGATCTCGAGAGGAGAATGGAGGAGAAGGGATTGCGGTGTGGCCATCCCCCCTGGGGGGTGATTTCTTGCTTTCTGTCTCTCTGTCTCTCTCTGTCTGTCTGGCGAGCGCACGCGCCCTATCCCTATAGTGAAAAAAAAACTCTTCAAAAAAAAAAAAAAAAAAAGGAAAGGAAATAATTTGGATACTAGTTGTGTACTTTTTTCTACTTCTTTTTTAAATTGTAAAATGTACATGACAGGGCCAGAAGGTAGCGTGAGGTTAAGGTGGTGACTGGATCCCACATGGCCGACTCCACAATTCGAGTCTCAGACCTGGAGATTTAAAAATCACATTGGACACATATGCATGCGTGCCCAAAATCCCAACAGGAGAATGGAGGAGAAAGGATTGTGGCTTGGCCATCCCCCATGAAAGGGGGGCTGATTTCTCACTTTTCCTCTCTGTCTCTCTCTGGCAAGCACAGGCAAACTGGGGAAAAAAAAATAAAGTACATGACAGAAGTTTTCACTTTTTTCAATGTGAAATTCAGTCTCATGATGTCCATTCATTTCATGTGGTAATGGTTGTTATAAAACCATCACCCATTCATCTCCAGAACTTTTCTACCATCCCATATAAACTCTGGGGCAATTAAACAACTTCCCACCCCACACTCTGCCCAGCCTTTGGCAACCACCATTCTACTTTCTGTTTTTATGAATCTGACCACACTAGGTGCCTGATATAGAGGAACAATACAATACACGGCTTCTTTCTCGCTGCCTCTTTAATTTTGCCACAGGGTATGTGAGCTCACTGGAGAGAGAAATTGCCTCCTATGGGGTATAGTCCTTTTCCTCCATTTCTCCCTCCTGTTAGGATTTTGAGTATACACGCACGTAAGCCTGGTACATTTTTCAAGCCGCCAGGTCTGGGACTTGAAATGTACAGTCGGTTATGTGGAATCCTGTTGCCTTAATCACTATGCCATGGGCTAACCCTACGTAGCTTATTTCTTAGCATAATGTCTTCGGGTTTATTTATGTTATGGTATGTATTCTTACTATGGGCCTATTTTTAAAGTTTACTTATATCTTCCTTTTTTAAGGTTTACTTATTTCTTTCCTTTATGAGTGAGAGAGACATAGAAAGAGAGAGAGAGACTGGTACCCCCAATGGGGTCTTTACGATGCTATCCACCCCCAGCCTCAGCCAGCCTGGATCGTCAGCATGCTCACATCCAGGGTGTTCAGAAAGGTCTCCAGATAAACCTGGAAACTACCAATGTGGGTCAGCTTTGCAGAGCACCATGTTACCACTGTGCCACCCCCTTCCTTTTTATGGCCGAATAATATTCCACTGCATGTATAAACCACATTTTCTTTTTTATTTTTCAGAGGGCACATGCACTTGTCAGAGAGAAATACAGAAAGATAGAAAAGGCAAAAACACTCCCTAATTGGGCATGGTCACTCCATAATCCCTTCTCTTCCATTTCTTCATCCTATCAGTATTTGGGGCACACAAACACAAACATAGTGTGTTTTTCAAGCCACCAGGAATAGGATTCAAACTGCAGCATTGGCTGTGTGGGCTCCCTTAACCACTATGCCATGGGCCAACATAATACCACATTTTCTTTATTCATGTATCCATCAGTGGACATTTGGGTAGTTTCTACCTTTAGGTTCTTGTGGATAATGCCGCTATGAACATTTACATACAAATATTCATGTGACCTTTTTAAATCCTAAAAGTCATATTTACAAAATGTGTATGTATGTAAATATGTAGAATGAGATCTGAGAGATGCATATCCAACTTGAGCCATTACCTCCAGAATGAGAATAGAGTAGGGCAGAAAAAGAAAGCCATCTAAAACATTTTATTCTGTATATGTCTGTAGTTTGGGATTTTTCATAATGAGACTAGATTAATATATTCCTTGTTCACTTTAAAATGCAATTAAAAATGACAATAACAATTTCAAGCATCTTGGCAGTCTGTGGGGAAGGAATATTTAAAACAATTTTCAAGGAGTCAGGAGTCTCAAGGGATAAAGGAATTCTTAATTGTAGCTCTGTGATTTGAAATTTTTATAAGATGCATGTATTTTTTTAAAGAATTATTTTATTTTACTTTATTTATTTATTTATTTATTTAAATTGGACCAGAAAGGGACAGAATGAGAGAGAGAGAGAGGGAAAATGAGAAAGCAAGCCACCAGGTCTGGGACTCAAACCACAGTCGACCA